CCAATGCCCCATCCACAAGAGGCTCACTGCTCACTGGTGGCAGCCATCTCTGGGCTGGTGTCGGCAGGTGTCTTCAGCAGCTCAGGAGCCCACCAGCAGTCCGAGATGCAAGGGGGGGGGGGGAAATTTAACCACTCCACCTACCCTTGTTGCTAGTCTCCAAGCCTCTTGGGGTTTAGACCCTGCCAATGCCTTTCTCCTTCCAGTTCTGCTCTGCAGCCTCTTCCTGTGGAGTCTCCTATAGGTTCAGGCACCCTTCTTTCTGACTCTCATCTGATCTATGTTTGTCTGCCTGTTTGTTTTTTTCACTTTCACCTTAAATCTTTCCTTCTTGCAGAGACATTCTGGCTGGAGGTGTTTCTTATCCGCCATTTTGCCTCTTCTTCCGTTTTCAGCTGTTGAGACCTTTAAGAGATAAAGAAAAGCTGATTATCATAAGCTATAATTAAGTTAGGAGTCTGTTACAGTAGGCCATCTGTATTCTATATAAGACAGATAGTTACTCTGATCATTTATAAAAGGAGGATGAGGAGAGGAGATCCTTTCAGTGATGTTTAAAAGATTATCAAGATGTGTATCCAAATAATCATTGCCAAGCCCAATACCAAGGAGCTTTCCCCTATGTTTTCTTCTGGAAGTTTTACATTTTAGGTCTTACTTTTAGGTCTTTCATCCATTTTGGGTTGATTTTTGGTATGGTGTAAGGTAAGGGTCCAGTCTCATTCTTTTGTATATATGTATACAGTTTTTCCAGCACTGTATGTTGAAAAGAATATCTTTTCCCCATTGTGTCTTCTTGTTGGCCTTGTAGAAAGTTAGTTGACCCTATGTGCTTGGGTTTATTTCTGGGCTTCTGGGTTTATTTCTGTTCCATTGGTCTATGCATCTGTTTTTATGCCAATAGCATATTGTTTTTTATTACTATAGCCTTGTAATATAATTTGAAATAAGGAAGTGTGATGCCTCCAACTTTGTTTTTCTTTCTCAAGATTGCTTTGGCTATATGAGATCTTTCATTGTTCCACATGAACTTTGGGATTGTTTTTTTATTTCTGTAAAAAATACAATTAGAATTTTGATAGCGATTGTATTGAATATATATATTGTTTTGGGTATCATGGGCATTTTAACAATATTAATTATTCCAATCCATGAACATGGGATATTTTTTCACTTATTTGTGTCTTCATTTTCTTTTGTCAACATCTTATAGTTTTTAATCTATAGCTCTTTTACTTCCTTGGTTAAATTTATTCATTTGGCAGTAATTTTTTGGCTGTCACACCAAAAGCTCATTCAACAAAAGCAAAAATAAAAAAGAGTGACTTCAGCAAGCTAACAAGCTTCTGCACAGTAAACAATCAATGAAATGAAAAGGCAACCTATGGGATGGGAGAAAACATTTTCAGACCACATATCTGATAAGCTTTTATATTTATTTAGTTATTAATATTTTTTTTAGAGATGGGGTCTTGCTCTGTCACCCAGGCTGGAATGCAGTAGCATGATCACAGCTCACTGCAACCTTGAACTCCTTGGTTCAAGATATCTTCCTTCCTTAGCCTCCTAAGGAGCTGAGACTCCAGGTGCATGCCACCATACCTGGAAAATTTTTCTTTTTACATTGTGTAGAGATGAGGTCTCACTATGTTGCCCAGGTTGGTTTCCACCTCCTGACCTTAAGTGATCCTCCTGCCTCAGCCTTCCAATGTGCTGGGATTACAAGTGTAAGTAACTGCCTGATAAAGTTTTTTTTTTTTTTTTTTTGAGACAGAGTCTCACTTTGTTGCCCGGGCTAGAGTGAGTACCGTGGCGTCAGCCTAGCTCACAGCAACCTCAAACTCCTGGGCTCAAGCGATACTTCTGCCTCAGCCTCCCAAGTAGCTGGGACTACAGGCATGAGCCACCATGCCCGGCTAATTTTTATATATATATATATTTTTAGTTGTCCAGATCATTTCTTTCTATTTTTTAGTAGAGACGGGGTCTCGCTCTTGCTCAGGCTGGTCTCGAACTCCTGATCTTGAGCGATCCACCTGCCTCGGCCTCCCAGAGTGCTAGGATTATAGGCGTGAGCCACCGCGCCCGGCCCTGATAAAGTTTTAATATCCAAAATATATAAGGAACTCACACAACTCAATATAAAAAAAATCCCCCAAATAACCCTATTAAAAGGTGGGCAAAGAACCTGAATAGACATTTCTCCAAAGAGGACATAAAATTGGACAACAGATATATGTAAACATGCTCAACATCGGTAATCATGAGAGAAATGCAAATTTAAACCACCTCACACCTGCTAGGATGGCTGTCATAAAAACAACAATATATAACGAGTGTTGGCAAGGGTATGAAGAAAAGGGAACTCTTGTACACTGTTGATGGGAATGTAAATTGATACTTCCATTATGGAAAACACTCTGTTATTTTTTCAAAAAAATAATAGAACTATCATATGACCCAACAATACTTTCTCTTATCGGTATATATTCAAAGAAAATGAAATCATCACCTTATAGTGATATCTGCACTTCTATGTTCATTGAAGCATTAGTCACAATAGCCAAGATGAAAATAACCTACATGTCCATCAACAGATGAATGGATAAAGAAATTGTGGTGTATTAATATATATGAATAAAGGAGATCCTGCTTTTTGTGACAACATGAATGAACCTAGAGGATATTAGTCTAAATGATATAGGCCAGACACAGAAAGAAAAATTACTGCATGATCCCACCTATATGCAGAATGTACAAGAAGTCCAACATAGAGAAACAGAGGATAGAATGGTAGTTACCAGGAGCAGGGAGGGAAAGAAAATGGGGAGATATATGTCTATGTATAAGGGTACAAAATTGTGTTTATTTAGGATGAATATATATAGAGATCTAATGTATGGCATGAAGATTATACTTAATAATATTAGATTATATATTACAAATTTGATAAGAAAGTAGATTTTAGGTGCTTTTGCTACACACGAAAAAGGTAACTATTAGAGATGATGGGTATGTTAATTTGCTTGATGGTAGTAATTATTTCACTATGTATATGTATATCAAACATCATGGTGTATATCTTAAATATTTATATATAATAAAAATGAATAAAATGACACTTAAGGTTATAGATGCATATAAGTATATACTCAATTTGAACTATATTTTCACGAGAGCAGCATACAAAAATGTAAGAAACATATTTATGTTACAATCAAAACTCTTCTTTGACTTCAAAACCTTTGATGACACATTTAATTCTCTCTCTTTTTTTTGGTTGAAAACATTTTCCCCTTCATTTTGTGTTATAAGTAGTTATTCAACTGTGCTTGATAATTGTTTTTATAGTTGAGAAAGGCATATTTTCAACATATTTGAAAGGCAAGACACTTGCTACTCAAGAGAACAATTTTGAGTCTCTTCTTTCTATATTGACAATCCACTAAAGGATATAGGCAGATAAAGAGAGTTACAATAGCAGGCACATAGACTGTTACTTCATAGTGAATCTTTTGTGTTTTGGGGGCACATGTGATTGAGCAGGGAAGAATTCCCAGTACAAGTGATTTTTAGACTGAGAACTTAAAGATAAATGAATGAGGAGAATATATGTATTTTTTGACAGGTAAACAGCATAAGGAAAAGACTAGACATAAAAGCACAGGAGAAATGTAGGTTCAAATGCCTGGAGTACACTGAGATGAGAGAAATATTTTCAGATGGTAAGCTGGATGAACTTCTTTTCTCTTTTTGGAGTAAATGTGGTAAACAGTTTGTGCTTTTATTGTGTATAGCTATTTGTATCATAAAATGCAATACCTTTATTTACAGCTTTTCATATTCCTTTTAGACATTTTCTAAGTTTCCAAGATCATGTATATTTAGCTGCTTTTTTCTTGATTTCTTTTACTTTATTTTTTAACAAGCATTTGCTCATTTTAGCAACATCCTGTGTTGACATTTCATTATATCTAGTAATACATCTGGAGCTCTTTTGCAGTATCAAAACAGAAGAATGGGATACATCTGCACTTGCCATCAAATTGGTACTAACTGATCAACACTAGGTTGACCACATGGCAGAAACACTCTCTAGGGATTAGGGGGATGGGGGGGCAAATCTACAACTAAAGGACACGGGGAGCACTAAAGGGAGGGAAGGGCATGC